TTGATCATAGCTCGCAGCAGACGGCTCGTGAGCTTAATGTGGAGCCTCAGGGCTTCATAATGCCTTGAAAGGCCACAGCGGCACAAGACACCTGACCAGTCTGGCCAGTGGAGACCAATGGGGCGGCTGCTTCGTGGCTGTGGCATTACGTCATGGAGGCCCGCAGTTTGTCTGGACGAACGCACTGCGGATAAAACTGCAGCCTTAAATATTTCATTGAGCTTCTCAGGTTGCTGGACTCCTGGAGGTCAGGACTGGAGACAGCCTCGTCCTCTCTTCCCTCCATCCATCCATCCATCCATCCATCCATCCATCCTCCTCTTCTGATGCAGGAAAAGTTGAGCTGGGGATGAATATCAACATATTTTTAACAACGTTGCACCGATGTGATTTTAATGAAATAAAAGAATAAAAAGCACAAGTTTTGCTCAGTTATGGTCTGTAAATCAGAACTGTTGCTTCTGGTTCAATGTTTCCATATAGAGGTACATTTTCCGATGGCACACGGAGCCATGACAGTCCCCAGTGGCACGAGGACTCTCTGGGACCCTGCAGAGGACACGTCAGAGCTTGAGGCCTGCCGCTGCATGCACAGTGCAGCTGAAGACGTGCATCCTCTGGAAAAGGACAGGTTATAATGAGAGATCAATGTTTGACTTGTATTTGAACTGGAAGGTGGTCTCATGTCTTAGATTTGTAACTGCAATAAAAGCAAATAAGAGCGCAGACTGTTGCGTGACAGAATGCATTTTTCAGACGAGAGAGGATTAAAGGGCCTTATGTCACAGCATTTATTCCCCCCCTGCTGTGATTATTGGGGGAGGGGGGTCATCTGAGAAGGGAGGAGGCAGCACCATCATCTGGTTTATGGTTAAATAACATCCTGTGTTGCAGGTTCATCCTCAATCATCTAGTCTCACATCTCCTTCAAAATAAGAGCACGGGTGCACCAAGGACTCAGAGGGGCTGAGGCATTGATCTTGTGTTTCACAATAAACATAATCAGAACTAAAAAGAAGATAAAAACAAAGACAACACAGCCTTGAGATGGTCACGTGCATTACAGGTTACAAGGCTGGGATACTAATGGGCTTCTCAGGTTTCAAAAAGGAACCAGACTGGGTCACTTCATACACTGGACTACAGTGCCACACTGACACCTTGTGGAGTAAAACTTTCTTTCATAAAGTAGAATGCTGCAACGTTAAAGCACAAGTTTAGATGCAATTTTTCTTAAACTTTGTACCATATAGTAATATTTAGTGGGAGTGGTGGCATAGAGGTTAGAGAAGGTGGGCCTGTGATCGGAAGGTCGCTAGTTCAACTCCCCACATCAAAATATGGGTGAGAAACGTAACTTCCACAACCTCTACACCCTCATTTACCCCACTCTGGGCCCTTAACCCCCAACATCTGCTCCCCCGGGCACCCCAGATGGCAGCTCTCTGCTCCACACAGAGGGCTGTGGCAGCTCGGTGGTCTGTGGTTGCGTCAGGAAGGGCATCCGGCGTAAAATCAAATGCCAAGTCTTCATGGTGAAGAAGGGAGCAGCCAAAAGAACAAAAAAAGGTAACATTTAAATTATGATGCATAAAAAAAATACATTGAAGACTAATCAATTGCGAGTAAAACTGCCTTTAGATAAAAACATACTTCCTCTTCTTAAATATTTTGGTTTAAGGTTAAACAAACATGTACTTTTTCGTTATAATTAAATAAAAACATTTATGAGGGGGGAAAAAAAAAGTCATAATTCTCCACGCAGGAATAATCAGCCTCGCACAACAGCCAACGTTGAATGTTTTATTAAAAAAGAAGTTATAACAGTTTATTTTATACACAACTATTTATGAGAGTATAAGCCTATTTATTAATAGAGAGCATCTGCCTTTCTGACAAGCATGCTCACTTCACAATGAAAAAAAAAAGGGGGAAAAAGAAAAACAAAAACAATATTGGACTTTTTAAAAAAGAAAATTGTTTTTAAAACCCTCAAGTATCACACAATACATAGTTTTGTTGGAAAAACCGCAGTGGCTCATGCTGTGTGCTTGCTTCTGTCCTGGTGGTTCAGTGCAGCTTCACACAAGCACCAGTCTGAATGGAAGGTGCAAACTTTGACTAAACCTGAAGCATGCAACTGCTCAGAGACAGTCGTGAGAGGGATGGGGCTTTTTGTAGTTTTTTCTCGTGCTGATGAAATGTGAACATATTAGCTGCAGATAAATGACAGACCAGTGTTAGTAGAGTAAAATGCCCCTGCAGTTATAGTCCTAAAACCACCAGCTGGCCTCGACTGCTGTCTGAATGTCTTTAAAACATCCGCTGCACGTCTGTGATCAAGCAGGGAAAGGCAGAAAAGACATGAAAATTAAAATATAAATTTCACTTACACAAACGGTTGAGAATTCAAGTAACCAAATTGCATCTTTTTGCATCCGAGGACATTTTCTTCGTAAAACAATGTCCAGATTGTAAAAGGCAAAGAGCGGGGAGTAAGACAACCAAGACAAAAAAAACAAACAGAAAAGAGCAGAACTGAGAGCGTCAATTTGTTGCTCACTAGAAGCAAAAAGAACACAATTAAGTAAGTTGGCCACAAAATAAGATTCGTTTGTATTTGGATAAATTGAGGGCAAGAAAAATAAATCATGTGCATCTTTTTTTTTTTTACTTGGGATTTACAATATTTTTAGCACTCAAGTATCAAAAACAAACAAGATAATGTTCTCCTGAGTGTCTTCATTTATCTGAACTAAATGCTACAACAGAAAAGCATCACATCCAAGTTAAAAACTTTTTTTTTTTTTTTTTTGGATACTAAATACAATTTTATGAGCAGCTAAGAGAGAAAAAAAAAAAAAAAACATAAGCCAGATGTGAAATTTATTTCTCTGTACTGCTTTAAACACGTTTAATCTGCGAAAGTTACACGAGAAACAAATATTCAACATGTTCTTTTGTCGAAGCATTGGAAATTAAAAAGAAAGAGGAGTCTTTGTAGTCAAACGTTTATGAGCACAGAACTAGTTTAGATCATGCCTAAAGAGCAGATACAATCGGATGAAATGGGCTTCTGATTTCTGTACAAGTTCGATCCCTTGGGCTCACTACAACCTATTTGGAAACAAAAAACACACAACTGTACAACTTGCTCAAAAAAAAGGAGGAAAAGTGGGCATGTCGGAGGGTTATCTCACATATAATCACAGGAAAAACTAAAAACCAGATGAGTACTGAATGTTTTATCATCAGGAACCAAACTACAGAATTCCATAAATCACCACGCATTACAGCTAACCATCCTGACATGTCCAAAACAAGGCTCTACAAATGTGACCTCCAACCTAATGAATACCTTCGAGGTGTCCTCATCATCAATATGCGAACTGTACTTCCAACTTTTGCGATAAGTCTGACAATCCTCGTTTAGCTCGTCTGAATCGAATGCCTCTTAGCCCCAATTTAACAGAATGACAGTGTCCAAATCACAAACAATCAAACTGCATGAAATGAATTAAAACAATGTGCTTTTCTCATTTATAGAAGTTGTCTTAGCTGAAAAAACATGATTTTTTTTCTCTCAATTCCTTAAATCAGTGGTTCCCAATCATGGTCCTTGAGGAACACCATCGTGCATGTTTTAGTAGTTTCTCTGCTCCAACACACCCGATTTGGCGATTTAATTAGCTCATGTTCAGCAGAAGCCTGTAAATAGCTCATTTATGAAAATCAGGAGTGTCAGAGCAAAGAAAAAAAAAACATGCAGGGTGGTGTTCCTCAAGGACCAGGGTTGGGAACCCCTGAAATCATGCTCCATTTGTGATGAGGCACAGATAACGAGGTGCATCCTCAGCTTGGAGTCAACAGAGACTCACTGCAGTGTTTAAAAAAAAATACGTTTCAAGGTTCCTACGGTAGTTTCACTGCTATTTGAGCCTCGATGAGCATCTAAAGGTCAGTGTTTTGGCTTGAACACTGATTTATCCCCCCCCCCCCCCCCGCGCGACTACAGAGAGGTGTATTGTCACTGAAAAAGGTATATGCTCTATACACACACACACACAAACACACGCACAAAGAAAACAAAAACAAATGTATTGACCCCCCCATCGGGAAACATTTTAAGAGTACAGGTAAAAAAACATTTGAGGAGAAGAAAAAAACAACTCAAATCTGCAATTGTTATTTTTACCCACCACACAGATTATAGTTAGAGGTTCCCATGAAGCTGCGGAGTTTGAACTGGAGAAATTCTCGCTCGTTTGTTTGTAATCTTGGCGATCCGAACAGGTTTTGGTCAAAGCAGACGACGGCGTGCGAGTTCGGTCGGGAGAAAAAAAAAAAAAAAAGTCACGTCACACACCACAGGTCGGAGCAACATGAAGAGCGGGCGTCGGAGCAAATCGACGGCAGCGGTGGAATGTGAGGACCAAGGAACATGCGTGTAGAGACAAAAATCACTTATTTTCACTCAGGTCAACTCAGACTGGTTGGTTGCTTTGCACTGAAGTTAAAACGTGCTTTTTTAAAAATAAACCAGTAGCGATCTCCTTCTTCTTCTTGACAGTAGGCTGAACTCGATACAATGTGATACAGCACCGTTTTTGCTAAGTTTTTGTAATTCAGATCAGAAACATCACAGTAGAGCACTCTTTGCTTACAATGTTGCTTTTCCAGTAATATGTTACACAGGATGAGACAGTGGCTCCACAAAAAGCAAGTAAAATTAATGTAAAAGTAGCCTTTTAAACATTTCTGACACACCTCCAACAATATGTAGACAAAGATATGTGTAGTAAGCATGCCGAGTAGATTTATGAGCATTTATTTTGAGTTCAGTCAGCTACATCACTCGGCGTGCCTTAAAATGGAGCTTAGTAAATAAAATAGGTCTTTTGACTTGGAGATGACTTTTCTTGAATCAATGAATCAGCGATAAAAGAAATAAAAAAAAAAAAGGACAAAAATTCTGGTTTTGTTCCTCCCTGTGCTTTTTGATACAACGTGAGAAGCCATAAAGTCAAAAAAAAAAAAAAACTAGTCAAAGCCAAGAGCCTCTACTGCACGATATATTTGTTAAAACGTGCAAGCAAACCCCCCCAGAATTTGCACAAAAACGTCAAGTTTTGTCTTAAAAAGCTGTTTTGTGACTAGACGATGGCGCTGTGGTGACCTGGGCGAGCAACAACCAACAAGCTGGTCAGAGTCAACTTGGGGTGCACGATAAAACCAGAGTGAAGTCCGAGTCAAGAATTTAGATGCGTGGGGAGAGAAACGTCAAACAAACGCAGAGGTGACGGGCAGAGAATATGGATGCGATCGCCATGACAACTGTGCGGCAGGGATTAACAACTACAGAGAGGAAGGGGTGTCTGTCAAACACACCAAAGGCTATATATATATATATATATATTTTCATAAAAATCCTTGTTTTAGTAGTAATAATAAAAATAAAAAAATCAACTTGTTTAAATATGAATATTATAAGTCTGCTTTTTTCATAGTTAGGAAATCAAATATAGTCTTTGTGATGGGTTAAAGGAGGGGGGTGGGATGGGGGAGCCCTCCTATTACTACAACTCCATGTCCTGGGCTTCGTCTTCTGAGAAATCAGACATGGAGCTTTCAGATGAAGAGTCACCGGCCCCCTCCTCCTGCTCCTTCAGAGCCTCCTCTGTTGCATATTTCTGGATGTACTCTGTGAAGGAAAGGACAAATACAAGTTCACCTTGCATCATGAATGTCTAAAATAGACTATTTTTATCATCAGAGACTTTGGAGTCCAACATTTATATCATCATGGCGAACCTTTGATTTTCTGCTTGTAGTCCTCTGGCCGATGAAGGTACATGGCAGCTGCATCTCCGTTCAGGGGATCGATGGGGTTTGGGTAAGCCAGCAGTTGGGGCAGAAACGACTCAAAGATGTTGGTCAAATCTGGGCAGAAACAAAAAAGGTTTCAAATATACCCATTAAAATAACCCAAACAGCACTGGTGATCCCTGAAAATTACTATAAATCAAACTACACTGCCTGGCCAAAAAAAAGTTGCCACCAAAAAAAAAAAAAAGGGTCACACTAATATTTTGTTGGACCGCCTTTAGCATTGATTACATCATGCAATCACTCTGGTGTTGTTTCAGTAAACATCTGCAATGTCACAAGATCTGTTTCCATCCAGTGTTGCATTAATTTTTCACAAAGATCTTGCATTGATGACTAGGCACTAGGCATGACGGGTGCATCGCTTCACCTGCCTCTCTTCTTACCCTGATGCACTCATCACTCTGAAACAGGGTAAATCTGGACTCATCAGACCACATGACCTTCTTCCATTGCTCCAGAGTCCAATCTTTATGCTCACTAGCAAATTGAAGACACCCCCCCCCCCCCCCCCCGATTAGCCTCACTGATTAGTGCAGGGGTCTGCAATCTCTACGATCAAAAGAGCCATTTCTGCCCCTTTGTTCACTAAACTAAACGTTTCTGGAGCCACAACACCTGCTACAACTGGGATTCTCAACTGGTGGCCCACAGACCACTAAGTTTGCTGGAGAGTGCTTTTCTGGACAGTAGGGGTGATTTTAGAAAACAAAAAAATATCTAATGATTTTTAACGTTTATTAATATTTTTACATTCTAAGACTAAATAAAAAAACGAGATTCTTGTAAAGAAAAAAAAAAAAAGTATAGTTTTTGCCCAGTTTCTAAAACTAAAACAATAAACTATGCATTATCATGTGATTTTTTTATTTTTTTATTGTAGAAAAATTATGTATCCTACTTTGAAGAAATAAAGCATAAAGTGAAAGTGTGTATGTTTTACTCCTTGTAAATGTTTCTAGTATTCATATATTTGCAAATAAATTACAGGAAAACTGCTAAATGAGCCCTTTTAGTTATTGTTGTTCTAACAACCAATAAAATTCAGTTTTCTGTGAGTTTTGGTCAAAGCTTGAAAGAGCCACTGGAGAGGGACCAAAGAGCCGCATGTGGCTCCAGAGCCGCAGGTTGCAGACCTCTGGATTAGTGGTTTTCTTAAGGCTACACAGCTGTTCAGTCCAATCCTTTGAGTTCCTTCACATTGTGCGTGTGGAAATGCTCTTACTGTCACTATTAACCACAGCCCCGAGCGCTACTGTTGTTTTTCTTCCATTTGATTTCACCAAACGTTTAAGTGATCGCTGATCACGATCATTCAGGATTTTTATTGGCCACATTTCTTCCTCGAAGACGATGGGTCCTCACTATCTTTCCAGTTTTTAATAATGCGTTGGACAGTTCTTAACTCAATTTTAGTAGTTTCTACAATCTCCTTAGATGTTTTCTCTGCTTGATGCCAATGATGTGACCCTTCTCAAACAGACTGACATCTTTTCCACGACCACGTGATGTGTCTTTCAACATGGTTGTTTAAGAAATGAGAAGCAACTCATTGCACTAGTTGGGGTTAAATAACTTGTCAGCTGAAAGATAATCACCCATGCAGTAATTATCCAATAGGAGGCTCGTACCTATTTGCTTAGTTAAATTCAGGTGGCAACTTTATTATTATTTTTTTTTGACCAGGCAGTGCATTATTCTTTAAAAACCTGACAGTTGTAGAAACATGCAGTTCCTTTCTTTCCTCCTTGGTGCCACTGTTGGGTCCACTAAAGCGTGGAAATAAACACCTTCCCTGTCTATTGTATAGGACTGTGACGTTCTGAAGATAAAAATCTGTTGTTTTTGTTCCCTCTCCCTTCACAGAAAATCTGCACACAATTCTTGGTTGATTGGCCTTTTCTTTTGGACGTTTATCCGATTTGATTTCATTCTTTGAAACGCTCAACAAGACGGACAAATTGCGCTAACAAAGGTCACATAATTCTGCAATCTAAAACCCTTCAGCTCATTTTCAAATCAAGTTAAGTCGACATTTTTCTGCATCTCAAGATACTGAAATACCACCTATGTATATATTTTACTGTTGATGAGCAGAAATGATGAGAATGAAACGGCATAACACGTGAAAGGGACAAGAACTGGGACCGTGTGCTTGTGGGGACCTCTGATGTGTGAGAAACACAATAATGCTGCCTTGGAGAGCATGTGAGCTCTTACAGCTGACAAACCGTAAATCATTTGTGTCCGAGGTGAACGTTTCCTGTCCTTGCTGGGTGAGAGTATTACCTTGTTCGTGTTTATTTTTCCTCAGTAAGTAGATTAGGACCAACAGTGCACCACTGTCTGATGTGCTCATACTTTTGACCGAGGCCGTGTTGCCTTGTTTTAATTATTGTGTCAAGCTTTTCAGATAAACATGCTGGTCTGAATTGGGGAAGTTCATCCGAGCACGTGTGGTCACTTACCGTAAAGAGCTGTCCATGTCTGGTTGATGACATCTAAGCACACTGTCCCTGACCTGGAAATCCAAGACAACGGAGTTAGGGGAGCGGAGGTGAAGCGGTTTCATCAGACAGTTATCTCAAATGAATCTTTCAGCGGTTATTAAGGGTCGTCATCATGAGTAAGGCAAATAAAGAATTTAAAATAAAAAAAGGAGGCCACCACTGCAGCTGGAGTCAGCTGCATGCAGCCAGTTATAAAATGTTTGCAATTTCAGGAAGTTGGTAAAAGTGACCAAGTAGGTGTTGAATAAGAACAAGCCAGAAAATTGGTCAGTTCTTTAGAAGATAAATGTAAAATGTCGTGAAGAACTGCCTAAATACAACTTTATAATACATTTTTGTAGAGGAACGTTGGGTTACGAGCTAGGAGTTGTATCTTCTAGGCTTTGGCTTTGTTAAAATAAATAAAAAACACCACATCAACATTTGCATAAAAGCCATAAAATAATGTGTTAAAAAAAAAAACTAAACCAACCAGACTCATAAATCAGTGTACCATCAGCTATTCAGAGTCAGAGTTTCTTTATTTGTCATTCTCATCACATGTGGTACATGAGATGGAACGAAATTGTGCACACCGGGTCCCAATTACAAACAATAGCAAAACTATAAAGTGTAAAAAGAAACAGTAAATAAGGATCCGAGATATAAACTAAGCTATACGCTAAACGAACGCCAAACGGTACGCTAAAAGATCTAAGATATATGCCAGCCACTGATAGCGCAAACACCGAACAGCAGCAGCACGATTCTCATAGGTTCTGTTCAGCTATAATTTACACGCTTATTGTGAGCACTAGCATAAACTAAACTAACATAAACTAGGATTTATTCAAAGCATGCAACAAATACAGAAACAAGGCGCCAAAAGTGAAAAAGAAATAAATCTACAGCAGCATGGTCCTACTGGCAGAGTGGTTATCTTAGCAACATGGTCCAGTTAGCAGCATGACACTGTTAGCAATGAGGTTTCTCTTAGCAACACGGTCCCGTTGGCCCCGTGGTACTGTTAGCGACATGGTGTTGTTAGCAGCGTTAGCAGGCCCTGCCAGCGGCCCGATGGTAACAATGACCGCAGCAGCTGCCTCCCAGACTGCCCTCCAGAACCAGGTCCAGCAGACAGAGAACATCCAAGGTTCCCCCGTGGAACCAAGCAGGTCTGCAGAGTTCAGTCCGTGCAGGCAGATGGAGTCAAGCAGGTCTTTTAAAATTAACAGGCATATTGGTTAGCTTCATATCCTACTTTCTGATGTCAGTCACAACAAAGCATCTCATCAATGCTTCAGAGATATGGGTCTGCTGGTAAGAAGTTAAAACATGGCAGCAGCTGAGAGTAAAACCAGTAACAGCACTTTTATGAATACAACTTATGAGCACTTTTCCCTGAACTTACTGGGTGACACAGTTTATGTCATCCAAGTTCAGATCGTGAGTTAAAACATTTAGTTTACCACTTTCCCATCTGTGTATCAATATTTCCTCTCCTCCAAAATGTGCGTTTGCATTGATCAACGTTCCATAAAAAAAAAGTGTGCCAAGTCATCACTGGAGATTTGTTTTGCAAATAATTTGTAATATTCTTCCAACTTAAAAAAGGGGCTAGATAACAAAAACAGTTATGTCAACAGGAATTTCAGCTGTAAATTCCTTCCTTTAGCAATCAACTTTGACTGTTGATACGTGCTGCTGATTATCCATGCTGCTGATCTCATGCTGCTGTACTCATCCACCCACAAAGACTCGTGTTCGTGCTGCTGTTGTTCGGTGTATGGTTTTGCACTATTAGTGACTAGCGCATAGCTCAAATCTTATAGCATACCGTTTGGCGGTTGTTTATATCTTACACACTAATTTATTGTTTCTGTTTACACTTTATATTTTTGCTATTGTTGGATGTAACTGGGACCCTGTGTGCACGGTTTCATTCCACCTCATGTACATGTGATGCGAATGACAAAGAAGCTTGAACCCAAGTGTACAACTCCTTCCTCTGACACATTCATTCAATAGCCTGAATTCTAGCACTCTGTCAGATGAATAAAATATAATGATAGTATCATTTATTAAGTGTCAGAACACAAAACCTTTACATAGTGTAGGTGCTCGGAAACAACTGCAACATTAGTCACTATGGTCTAAAAGAATGCACGACTAAAACCGACTTACGCTTCATCGATGTTGGGATGAAAAATCTTGTTCATGAATCCTGAAAGACAAAGTAAAAGTGAGCAGAGGTGAAGTCACATGAACCAAAACCATGAACTATGTGGAGGCAGAACTCCTACCTATTGACGGCGATTTGAAGGGGTATTTATCTGGAAGATCTACTCGCACTTTCCACACCCCACCTTCATATGGTGCTGCACATAAGGGAAGAAGTCATAAAGGAACACAGCTGAGCGGACTTTTATTGGACTGAACATCACGTTCCAACCTCCATGCACTCCAGTGGAATGAGAGTTATATAAATCTCCTTCACTCCAGCGGAGCCATGTACCTCACTTACCAATCATTTTATGCAGCAATGCACTTCAGCCCTGGAGAAATCTTTACCTTCAAACCCCTTCAAATAATTTACTGACATCAAAGAGGAAGAGACAGAGGTTCAGTGAGTGTGCTGCTCTCCCAGAATAGTTGTAACGAGACCCTCGTGGACTGAAAGTGAGCAGCACACCGATGACGTGCACACAACAGCACCACCTCCTTTGACAGCTACAAGACATCATAAACACAATCAAACACCTCTTCCTATTTCTCGATACATGACAGTGGTTTTGACTTTGACAAATGTCGCAAACGGCAAACGCAAGAAGTACTTCCTGTTAATGAAACCATGACTTTCCTTCATTTGATACCTCATCCTCAGACATGGTTTCATTCTCGGCTGTCCAGCTGTAAGGAACTTTCTCTGAATTTCCAGACAACAAATTGACTTAAGGATGGGATTTGTTGTCACTTATGTTTTGTTTGTGGTTCAGCTAGCCATCAAAATAGAGCAAAAATAAATAAGATTTTACAGCTAGCGTATTTTTCGGACTATAAGGCGCACTTAAAATCCTATAAATTTCTCAAAA